TTTTGAGTTTCCAGCATTTTTTGCATTGATTCTTTCCCATCATTGTGGGCTTATGTACCTTTGATCTTTGAGGTTGCTGATCTTTGGATGGGGTTTTTGCGGTTTTTCTTTGTTGTTAATGTTTTTCTTTTAACAGTCTGGCCACTCTTTCATAGGGCTGCTGTGGTATACTGGGGGTCTGCTCCAGACCCTAGTTGCCTTGGTTCTTCTGTACCTGGAGGTATCACCCGTGAAGGCTGCAAAACAGCAAGGATGGCAGCTTGCTCCTTCCTCTAGAAGCTCTGTCCCAGGTGGGTACTGACCTATTGCCAGCCTGAATGTACCTGTAGGAGGTGGCTGGAGACCCCAGCTGGGAGGTCTCACACAGTTAGGATGAATGGGATCAGGGACCTCCTTAAAGAAGCAGTGTGGCTGCTTTTTGGTAGAGCAGCTGTGTTGTGTTGAGGATCCCTTCAGCCCTGATTGGTCTGGGGGTCTCCAAGGCCCACAGGCTGGACCTGTTGATGAGCCTAAACAGCCAAGATAGCAGCTTACCTGCCCCTCAGGCACTCTGTCCTAGGGAGAAATTGGAGCTCCATCAGTTCCATAGAACATGGGTGGCAGCTGGAGGCGCTGGCTGGGAAGAGCCAGCTGTGAGGACCAGCTGAGACAAGGAGCGGATTGCAGTTCTGCTTAAAGAAAGTTGGCCATGCCTCAAAAAAACAGCTGTGTCCCGGAGAACCGCTTCTGTCCATGAGCTTGGACCCTCCAAAGTCTGCAGGCTGAAATGGTTGAGCCATCTATCCAATCCAGGTGGCAGCCCTCCCCTCCCCGGGTCACTCTATCACGGGGAGAGATCAGAGCTGTGTCCACAGTATGTGCTGGTGGGCATGGCTGAAAGGCCCAGGTGGGAGGCTCTGCCCAGTGAGGAGGAAGTGATCCAGGCTGCTTAAAGCAACAGTCTCACCATAATCTGGTAAAGCCGCTGTGTTGCACTGCTAGGGGGACTCTCTCTCATCCGAACCTTTTGGACTCTCCAAAGCCCGCATGCTAGAATAGTTGAGTTGACCAAACAGCAGAATGGTGCCTACCCCTCCCCACTAAAGTTTTCTTTATAAAAAAGTTAAAAATGAAAAATTAATTTCTTTAATAAATAAAGAGTTATTCAGCTCACCTATTTCTTCTTGAGTGAACATTAGTACTTTTTGTCTTCTAACGAATTTGGCCATTTCATCTAAGTTGTTGAGTTTATTGGCATAAAGTTATTCAGAATATTCCTTCTTATGCTGGGTGTGGGGTCTCACATCTGTAATTCCAATATTTTGGGAGGCAAAGCCCAGAGGATCACTTGAGTTCAAGAGTTTGAGACCAGCCTGGGCAACATAGCAAGACCCTGTCCCTACTAAAAATAAAAAATAAAAATTAGCTCAGCATGGTGCCACGTATCTGTAGTTCCAGCTACTGAGAAGGCTGAGGCAAGAGGATAACTTGAGCCCAGAAGATGGAAGAAATGGAACTTGAACTACAATCACACCAATGAATTCCAGGACCTGGGTGACAGAGTGAGACTCCATCTCAAAAAAAGAGAATATTCTTTATCATACACTTATATACTTAATATCTATAGGATTTTTAGTGATATCACCTCTTTCATTCCTGATATTGTTTTGCTTTGTAGTGAGACAAGGTCTCACTATTTGCCCAGACTTGTCTCAAACTCCTGGACTCAAGCAATCCTCCTGGCCTCAGTCTCCCAAAGCACTGGGATTACAGGCATGAGCCACTGCACCTGGCCTCCTGATAGCATCAAATTGTGTTTAACTTCTTCCAAAGCAGTCTAGCTAGAGGTTTACCAATTGTATTGATCTCAAAGAACAAGCTTTGGATTTCACTGATTTTTTTTCTATTTTCTATTTCACTGGTTTCTGCTCTTTATTGCTTTCTTCCTTCTGCTTAAATTAAGTTTATTTTTCTCCTTCTTTTAAATATTTTAAGGTAGAAGTTTAGTTCACTAATTTGAAATCTTCATTATTTTCTAATATAAGTATTTAATACTGTAAGTTTCCATCTAAATACTACTCTAGCTACATCCTGCACATTTTTATATATTGTGTTTGATATGGTTCAATTTGTTAGTTGGTTGATATGTGTAATATTTTGTAATCTCCTTTGTGATTTATTCTTTAACTCAAAGTTTATTTAGAAGTGTGCTATTAATTATTAATTTCTGAATATCTGTTAGTAATTTCTTTCTCTCTTTATTTTTTTAAATTTCTAGGTGATGATTTGTAAATTTGATAGAGGTACAATAGAAATAGTCTGCTTCCAAATGTTTCATATTATGCATGTATTAGCTTATTAACAAGGTNAATTTAAGCGAGTGTGCATTAGCACTATCTTCTCTTTCAGCTAGGAAGAGAAATATATTGATATCAGGGCATCTTTTTAAATTTTTACTTATTTAAGAGACAGGGTCTCACTCTTGACATGATTATAGCCTCAAATTATTGGACTCAAGGAATCCTCCTGCCTGAGCATCTTGAGTAGCCAGGACTACAGATACATGCCACCTTGCCTGCCTAATTAAAAATTAATTTATTTTGTAGAGACGGGGTGTTGGTATGTTGTCCAGGCTGGTTTCAAACTCCTCAAACTCCTGGCCTCCAGCAATCCTCCTGCCTTGGTTAATAATTTCTAATTTAATTCCATTATGGCCAGATAACATGTTTTATAACATGTTTTATATTATTTAAGTCTAAATCCTCTTAAATTTATCAGTTCTTGTTTTGCGGTGCAAAATATGGTCTATATTTGTACATCTGCACTAGAAAAGCATGTGTATTTTGCTGCTGTTGAGAGGCACGTTCTAATAAACAGTAACTAGGTCAAGCTGGTTGAAAATGCTGTTCATGTTTTCCATTACCTTACTGATTTTTTACTTAATTTTAAAATTCATTACTAAAAGGGGATGTTGAAATCTTGAACTGTAATTAAAAAGTTCTCTATTTTCCTTTTAGTTCTTCTATTGCTCTGGTATCATTTCCCTTCTATCTGAAGAATTTCCTTTAATATTTCATTTTGTTTGTTGTGTGTTTTGTCCAATCTTTAATATTTCTTACAGTGGACATCTGCTGCCAAAAACATCTTTTACTTTTTTGTCTAAAAAATTCTTTATTTCTCTTTCATTTTTGAAGGATATTTTTATTGTATATAGAAATCAGGTTGGCATTTTTTTTTGTCCTTGCAGCATATGAAGATGTTATTTGATGGACTCTGGCTTTTACTGTTTCTGTGGCTTCTGCAGTCATTCTTCCTTCCCTTGCATATAATTTACCTTTTTTTTCCCTGTCTGCCCTTTGGATTTTCTTTTTCAAAAATTTTTACTTTATTTTATTTAGAGACGGGGTTTCACTATGTTACCCAGGCTGGATTTGAACTCCTGGGCTCAAGTGATCCTCCCACATCAGCTTCCTGCTGAGATTACAGGCACACGCCAGCATGCCCAGCATCATTTTCTTTTTATAACTATTTTTCTATAATTGAATTATGATGTCCTTTAGTATGTTTTTTTTCATGTTTCTTCTGCTTAGGGTCTATTGAGTGTCTTAGATCTGTGCGCTTATTTTCAACAAATTTAGAAAAATTTCAGTCACTATTTCTTTAAGTATTTTTTCTCTTTCCTCCACTTTGGCTTCATAGTTTGCTGTCAGTAAATATAAATGTATCTTAGCCTTGATCTGCCTATATTTCAATATCTAAAAATAGCTGTTACATATTCCTTGTCCAATTTCTAGTTGCTTATGACAAGAGGGTCAATCTAGTACTAGTTATGATACTGGTACTTCATGGTAGAAATCCTTCCCCTCCCCACTGTCATTTGGTTCCTCCAAAAAAAAAAAAAAAAAAAAAAAAGGAAAAAAAAAAAAAAAATTTTAATTTTTTTTAAAAAAAAAAAAAAAACAAAAAAAGGTTTACTTTTTTAGCTATTATCTTCTCTGTGTTTCAGTTTGATATTAGTTTATATTGCTATGTGGTTCACTGATCTTTTCTTCTCCAGTTTTGAATTTCCTGTTAAAGTCTATTCAGTGAATTTTAAGGTTCCATTTAATTCATATATGTATAAACACACACACACACACACACACACACGCACATATGAATATTTATATATATAATTTTTCTCTTCATTATGTTGACATTGTTCTTTAAATCCTTGAGCATATTTCTAATAACTAAAATTCCTGGTATAGTAATGCCATCATGTGTCATTTCTGTTTCTTTTTTCTATGAGCTGACTTTTCTTTTGATTATGGGTCACATTTTCCTGCTTTTTTACATGTCTAGTAATTTTTTATTAGATGCTGGACATTTTGAATATTTTATTACACAATGTTTCCATTTTGTTGTCTTTCTTTCTTTTTTGACACAGTCTTGTTCTGTCACCAGGCTGGAGTGCAGTGGTGTGATCTTGGCTCACTGCAACCTCCACCTCATGGGTTCAAGTGATTCTCCTGCCTCAGCCTCCCAAGTAGCTAGGACTATAGGTGTGCACCACCACACCCAGCTAATTTTTGTATTTTTAGTAAAGACAAGGTTTCCTCATGTTGGCCAGGATGGTCTTGATCTCTTGACCTCGTGATCTGCCCACCTTGGCCTCCCAAAGTGCTGACATTACAGGTGTAAGCCACCGCTCGTGGCTGTTGTCTTTCTTTAAAGAGTATTGATTAACTTCTTTCCTTTTTTCTTTCTTTTTTGCTAGTAGTTATGTTGCATGCATATTCACTTGATCCTTTGGGGTCCTGTTCAATTAAGCTTTGTTAAAGCAGGCCTAGAAGAGCTTTATCCTTGGCTATTTTAGCCCTGCTAGTAAGGCAGGACTGTTATGGGATTCCTCCACCAAGCTAGTCAGAACTCAAATGTCTCCTGGCTCTGGGTAAGCTCTGAGAATTATTAAACTTACAACTCTCAGAGAGTTTTTGGTCTAACCTTAAAGAGTCAGATCCTACACATTCTCGGCTTAGTATTCAGTACACTTAAGGGGGTGCCTTTACAGATTGCTTGAGCTTTTTTATTTCATAGCTCTCTCCTCTGTGACATTCTGTCCTGCAAATTCTAGATATCTCAAGCTTCCTGAACTGAGATTTCTGTCTCTTCAACTCTGAGTCCATTGTATTCTGCCTAAGCTCTGCCTCCCTGTGCTGTGGTCCAGAAAGTGTCTCTAAGCAGAAAGTTGAGGAAATAATAGGATTCCTCTGTGTGTGGTCTCCTTTCTTCTTCTCTCAGGGATCACAGTCCTGTTTTATCTTCAGCTCAATATCTGTCAATGGTAGAAATGCCCTCTTTTTTCAATGTCGTTGCTCAAACTGTCTCAGATTTTTGCCAGTAAGCACCTCTTCTAGGTGGCTTCTATGTCCTTCTGATATGTCTATATAATTTTTTAAACACTATATACTTTCTGGTACACTTAGATGCTCCAAAGTTCATCTTGTACTTTCCTTGTCCCAGACCTAGAAGCAGAATTATCTCCAAGGAGACATCAAACTTTTTAGGAAAGTATGATATTCAGAGACAAGATGGGACCCTTCAGTATGCTAACTGCTACTGGTGTGTCATTGCGTCTAGGTTCCTAGAGGGAGCTCTGGATACTTCAATTTGTGTATAAGAGGTCCTGTTGAGATCTAAAAGGGCTACAGCTAAACTGAAACAAAATTTTGCTGAACTGAAACAAAATAAATTTTAACTCCCTTATAGGACAAAACCTCACACTAAGGAAACTGCAAAACTCGAACAATAAAATTAAAAGAAAAACTTAAGTGAAAGTGGCAGAGGGCAGTAAAATAAAGGCCTATCTTAGAAAGTACAAGTACATATTTTTATTATCTTGTTTTAACAAGGCAAGAGGAAGCTCTAGAGCTATAAAACTAAAAATGAGACATCCCATACAGGAAAAAAAAAAGTTACTTACAAAGGAATGAAAATTAGATTGCTACCAAACTCTTTAAGAGCAATGCTTTGCCAGAAAATAATTAGATAATTGCTTAATATATTTTAGATAGTCGAGGAATGAAAATAAGAGTCAAAACTTTTATATCCATCCAAACAAACATCAAAGTATAAAGGCCACAAACAACTCCTACGATTATCCTGTGAGTCTTTGCTGGGATATCGAGCAAAGAAACAGCTTTAGACAACTACAGTTAATGAAAATTAACAACATAAGGATTGGTGGTTATAATAAATATGTATTTACCCACAGAAAAAAAGATAAGTAATGATTATAAAGAAGGAAAGTACAGTAATGGAATGGCTGTTTGCTTAGCCAATGTAGATACAGCCCAATTATAAAAAAATATATATAGGGTAAGAATAAGGAAAACACATACAAAGTGAAATAAGTTTACTAATTTCCTTATATTTGGTAGAAGTAAAAAAAATATTACTTAAAGTAAGATGATGGAAGAAAAGGAAGGAAAAAGAAGAGATGACTAAATAATTTTAATATTACTCATAGTAGGGACAAAAGCAAAAAAAGAGGGAAGGAGGAACAAAGAGTATTATATAAAGGTATAAAGGTAACCATTAAAAAAAGATCCCTACAAACCTTCCTAAAAAGAGAGAGGTCAAATAAAATGACTACATAGTGAAAGGCTTTTCATACAAAAGGCTTATATATGGTAAACAGAAAAACCATGACAGAACTGAGGCTAAAGATATTGATTACATCAATAAAAATTTTAAAAGTTTCACATTGGCTACTGAGTAAAGTCCAGAACTATTTGTAAAACAGAGATCCAGAGATGACTTTAAGAATAGTAAGACGGACAAAGACACATCAGGCAAATACAAATTGAGATAAAGGCAAAAGTAGCAACCTGCAGCTACAAGGTAGGTTTGTAGGGGGAAATCACAGATAAGAAGGCAGATAAAAAACAAAAAAATATTTTATACAATGCTAAGGAGTCTGAACTTTGTCAGTGGAAATCTTTGATGGATAAACTATAGATGGACAACAATCACATGTCCACTTTTTAAAATTTTTTTTCCCTTTCCTATAGTGCTGAGAAATGTTTAATTTAAAAATCAATTGAATTGAAGTGAAATGAGAGGCAGGAGATCCAGTTAGAATGGGAGAAGGCGACAAACACTGCTTGAGTGCCTACTCTAGGCCAAGCAGTTTACATACATGCTCTCGTTTTAAATCCTAGCAACAGCTATTTGAGGTGAGTCTTGTTATTCTAATTCTATATATATAGAGGCTCTGAGGATCAGGAACATTAAGTAACTTGTCCAAATAAAGTAGCCAGTAAGATGCTAGAGTCAAGACTTTGAATTCAATTTTACTTAACTCTTTGCCACTACATAATGGTATTTGTTGAAGGAAGGTAGAAAAGGAGGCAGGCAGGGAGGGAAAGAAAAAAAATTATCCCAAGCAAGGGAGAGTTCCTTTCCTTCCTTTTTTATTTTTGGTTGGGGAAGGGACAGATTTTAAAATTATTTTAAAATAATGTTCAAATAAAATACTTGTTCTTGGTATACAAGGCATTGGGGGCTAAAAAGTCCTCTTACTGCATAAGTTTTACAAATTGATTTACAGTAATAAAATCTAGTTAACAACATGTAAATATATATTCCTAAATTCTAGTCATCACTTTTTTAAAAAGTCACAATATGGAATCTTCCAGTTTTTCTACTTTCTACTTTTTTCTGAGATAGAGTCTTGCTCTGTTGCCCAGGCTGGAGTGCAGTGGCATGACCTCAGCTCACTGCAACCTCCTCTTCCCGGGTTCAAGTGATTCTCCTGCCTCAGCCTCCCTCGTAGCTGAGATTACGGGCACCCACCACCACACTCGGATAATTTTTGTATTTTTGGTAGAGATGAAGTTTCACCATGTTGGCCAGGCTGGTCTCGAACTCCTGACTTCAAGTGATCCACCTGCCTTGGCCTCCTAAAGTGTTGGGATTACAGGTGTGAGCCACTGCACCTGGCCCAGTTTTTCTACTTTTAAAAACAAAACCTCTCAAATTCTCTGAAAATTTTTCTTCTTATCCAGCTTTTGTTTCATTCTTGTTCCCAACTTAGTCCTCACAATTTCACGTAAAATACTCCATCAAACTATCTTTAGATGTTTAATTAGTTAAGAAAGGACATTTGTGCCTCAGTTTTTTTTTATTCCATCACATACTTACATGGAATGGTTCTCAGATAGAGATTATCTCTGATCACTTGCTGCAGTTTGTGGTCAATTGATCCTTTTTGAAACTGAAGACTTAGGTAATGTCGTAAATCTTTATTAATGACTTTGCCTGGAGCAAAGACAAAAAAAAGAAAGAAATGCATTTTTAGATGTTCACTTCAATACAGAAGCTAGTAACTGAATACTCTTAAACCAGTTAGCTATAACAGGATAAAGGAATCAGAATATTTTACTAAAAAGAAAATAATACCAGATTATTTACAGGCACTATAATTAAAATATGTACCTGTAAAATAATGTGAGAATAATTTTACATGGTAAGAGAGGGAGAAGGTACAGGTCTGAAAGGTGACAAATATTCAGAGTAATTTCATTTAGCCCCATGGCTTTTAATACTATCTACATAATGATAACTTTCATATTCATATCATGTCTCCATCCTTGATCTACCTCTGCCAAGCTCTAAACTCATCAAACTGATCCACATATATTGCAGATATATTTGGAAGTCAAATAAGCACCTCGAGTTTCAGATAGCCAAAACAGAACTTTTAATTCTACCTGCCCACAGTGTTTCCTCCCTGACATCTTCCCTATTGTAGAAGGCGCCATCAACCTGCAAAACAATCTTGAAATCTAGAAATCATCCTTGATTTCTCCTTTCACTTCTACCCATCCAGATTCAACCCATCAGCAACTTTTGTCAGTTATTCCAAGACATGTTTGACTTCTCTCCATTTCCTTTGCCACCACCCGAATCTAAGCCACCACTGATTCCTCATCTGGAATTCTGTCCCAGCCTTCTAATTGGCATCTATTCTTGCCTCCTTCCTGCTGCCCACCACTTAGCAGCCAGAGTAAGATTTAAAACATAAATCTGACAATTACTCTGTTTAGGGCCCCACAAGATATCCTGTACTTGGAACAAAATCTAAAATCCTGAACAGGGCCTACAAGGCCCTGCATGTTCTTGCTCTGGCCATCTCTGATCCTATTTTGGTCACTTCCCCATTCTCAAACACTGCTCCACCTATGCTTGGCCATCTTTCTGATCTTCAAAAAGACCAAACTGGCCCTACCTTAGGGTCTTCTGCCTATCACTAGATTGAACAGGCATTTTCTGTCCACTTGTTTGACTCCTAGATACAATGTGAATAAATAAGAAAGTCAAAGATTTTCTATTATTTGTGGGGAAAATGGGAAATAAATAGAGGAATATAAGGGCTCTCAAAGAAATATTAAGCAGAAAAAACAGGATTGCAGAAATCTGATAGCAATGAATTTATAGGAAGGGTTGAACTTAAAATGAAAATCCAAGCAGTTCAAACCATTATTCATTAGACAAGGCTTCAGATAATTAGAAAAAATCAATGCTAAGACAAAATAGATTATTTTACTGAATAAAAATAGTTGATTAAAGTATGCTGTTTTATTTAGAGCAACACACTTAGGACAAGGTTAGATAAGCCAAATACTATAGATCAACTCATTCTTTTAACTATATTCCATAGTATTACATTTCTAATTCCCTCCCTTGCTCTTCTCATATGTATAAATGAACACAACCTATGCAAGAGGATGTTAATGTAAGCAGGAAATCAGTGTGTGTTGAAAGTTCAGCAAACATATTCAGTCCCTAAACTAGTAAACACAAACTCTAAAAAGTCCTTCTTTTGTCTTGCCAAAAACAGATGCTGAGGAAAGGGGGACCCTTTGTGATTTTAATAAACCTGAAGATATTTACCAGGATGAACACAGAACAATCTCTGGTCACAGAGGTTGTTTCTATTAAGCGTTTAGGTAATCCCACTAACCCAACTCTACTTTAGATAAAAATCATATGTAATCCCAGCACTGTGGGAGGCCGAGGCAGGTGGATCATGAGGTCAAGAGATCAAGACCATCCTGGTCAACATGGTGAAACCCCGTCTCTACTAAAAATACAAAAAATTAGCTGGGCATGGTGGCGCGTGCCTGTAATCCCAGCTACTCAGGAGGCTGAGGCAGGAGAATTGCCTGAACCCGGGAGGCGGAGGTTGCAGTGAGCCGAGATCGTGCCATTGCACTCCAGCCTGGGTAACAAGAGCGAAACTCTGTCTCAAAAAAAAAAAAAAAAATCATATTATTTCATTTTTAAAATTTATAATAGAGAATAGTACAGTATACTACCTGTCACTGGATAGAAGATCATGTTAATTTATAATCAATGCTGTACAGTTTCATTGCTTATTGAACAAAAATATACTCAATAATAAATTCATTAAGTATTTTTAGAATCAGGTAAGAGATGGCTCAAATGTTTTGTAAATGTTATACAAAAGTTTTGGCAGATTGCTATATAGTTGCCTAAAGGTGTTTTGTGATATTTGGGGAAACTTGGTTAGGGTTTTTGAACGGATAGAGAATGCATCATTGTTTTCTCCCCACTTAAAAATAACATAATGTAGGCTCCAATATCGAAAAATCTGCTATACAACATGTTTCCAGAAAAAGACTTAATTTGGATAAAAGATAATACACGAATAATTTAAAAAGACAATCTGACTCAACATTTTGTTTTATTAACTCATGATTTCCTTTTTTTTTTTTTTTTCTTGAAACTTTACTGTTAGATATGGTATAACTTACAAAGATAACTATAAAACGCTAAAAACTCAGATTGCATTTTAATCTATAAAATAACATCCATTAAATTAGATATAATTAAGGACAAAGCCATAATAAAATCATAAATACAGCATAATGGGCAAGGAAAATAACTGAAACAACTCAATTCTTGTTTTAAGGACCTACAAGATCTTAAGACTGAGAGGCCATGGCTGGAATTGCACTCTTTTTTCAACCTTCCCTTCTACTGGGATTCTGGATGTAATACCAACATGAATCATTGCAAAGAAAAGTGTGAGGGACAATTTTGTAAGTGTGATATTTTAGCCAGGTGCGGTGGCTCATGCCTATAATTTCGGCGCTTTGGGAGGCTGAGGCAGGCGGATCACTTGAGGTCAGGAGATCGAGACCAGTCTGGCCAACATGGTGAAACCCCACCTCTACTAAAAGTACAAAAATTAGTGGTTTGTGGTGGTGCATGCCTGTAATCCCAGCTACTCTGGAGGCTGAGGCAGGCAAACTGCTTGAGCCTGGGAGGCGGAGGTTGCAGTGAGATGAGATCGTGCCACTGTACTTCAGCCTGGGCGACAGAGACTCTCAAAAATCAACAAATAAATAGGTGTGATATTTTATGTAAACATCTGCAAGTATTCAAAAAAGTCATCACACATTTTTGAGGCTAGAGACAAAATATTACAAGCATCAAAAAAAAATCTCAAAGATGAAAGTTTAATAAGTTAACTATGGGTTTACATTTTTTAGAAGAAACAATTAATAATAAAATATACTGAATGCAGCAGTCATCACGGACCGCCAAAAGGACTTCCTAAGGGGACAAAATATATGGTTCTGTCTTTGATATGATTCCAGGGAATTTGTATTTTTAAAAAATACATGTAAATATCTTGAACAGGCGGCTGACTGTGGGACTACCAGAAGGCCAACAGACACATTAACTCAAAAACACATTGCTGAGTATATCTGTGTTATCAAGTTGTATATGAACATCTGCCTTTTGTTTAGGGATTGTTCATAGGAATGACATTTCAAGGGTTTCAATGAAAAACATCCAAGTGGGCTTAATATAGTTGTTATTGAACAAAGAAAAGATTCTTCATAATGTTAGCATTCTTAACATAGCCAGACTTTGCTCTAAATGCTAATATTATGCCTTGACTTCTAAGTAATTTATAAGTCAAGGTGACATACGTAAATTAAAAACAGATTTATGTATTTTATAAATACAGCTTGGTTGGAAAAAAATCCATAACAGAAATCTCAATCATATGAATAAATCCAGGTACTCAAGTTTCAACATAAAAGTCCTTAAAAAAAAACCCCTCATAACTACAAATCCATACTTTCTGAATATATGCAAATTAATATTCACCACAAGTTCCCTGTGAGGAATCAGTATATAAAGTAACTGTTATTTAACTAAACCCTGGGTATGCTGGCATGGGGATGGCCAGGCAAGGAGCTGTAAATCAATCCCATTACCAATATTTCATATCCCCACAAGGATAGTTAAGGAAACTTTGTCAATCACTTGGCTAAAGTCAAGATACAACATGTCCTTACTATTCTCTAACCGAGTAGTAATTATAAAACTGAAAATAAAGCAAAAAAAATTAGGTCAGTTTGGCATGTCTTGTTCTTATAAATTCATATTGATTCATGGTGATCATCCCATTCTCTTATAAACACTATATATATACATATATATATATATATATATATATATACATATATATATATATATATATTTACAATGTCTTCAAATTTTACCACAGTTTAAAGTAGGGAGCTGGTGTTGGGTTTCTGCAATATATTTTATTCCTTTTTGAAAACTGGGACATTTGTCTCTCTCCTGTCTCCAAGTACTTAACCCATATTCTCAGTGATTTTGCAAAAAAAATACCGACAATAACCCTAAGATTATACCTGAGTCCATCAACTCCTGGGAGACAATTCATTTGAGTCTTGAAAATTTCAATTCACTTAAAGTGAATGATACTCCACCTTCTCATCTTCTTTGTTTGTTTAATTTTCTCTGTTTCAAGTTGTTTATTTTACCTTTTGCTATTGCAGGATTATAGAAGCAAAGTTAAGAATGGCATAGGTTGGATTTTACTTGTTAACAGGCATTAAGAATATCTTCTTCAGAGAGTGAACTATCTCTTCCATCTTGTTGCTCTTGCTCCAAATACAACCTTAAAAGCTCTTTGTGCTCTCTGAGGTATCTTAACTCCTTTTAAACTTTGGCCTTTGAAAAGAAAATTCTTAAATGTTTATTTCTTAAAGTCTTAGCACTGTATAACTGAGTGATGATTATGTGCTCCTTTCATCTATTAATCATGCACATCCTTTAAGAAACCTGAGCTGTTCAGAGCATTTTGTACACCCGTAAGAATTTATTCTCATTATTTTTCTTTTATAACTCTCTAGCCTTGAAATCACATCCATAGATGCTATAATCTTGCAAACATCTGTTTTCCTTAAAGGCAAAGAATGTGCATGACCATGTTTCACTTCTCTTCCTTACAATGATGTTTGTGAGACAACTCGGTGACTTTCCCCAATAAACTGTTTAATATAACTACATCAACACAACCAATGTTACAGACTAGTCCTTTTCCATTAGACCAAGACTTAGAACAGCAGTCCATCTTATTACTTCTTCTACCTCATGAGATCTACAGCAGTAAGGGAAGGCTCCATGAAAGTGGTGAGATCTAGCTTAATGCCAAAGCGGCTCCTTGGCTTAAGGAAGGGGATCCCTAAAAAAAAAAAAAAAAATCAAACTGTCTACTTGTTTGTAAATATAAATGGCATTTACAACGCTCTTCTAGATAATCAATATCTGTACATTTCACAGTAAAACATATTCTGGGGCACAAAAGCTGTTCATAAATACCATATACATTGTTAAACATAAATAACTGTCAGCTATCTGAAGGCCAAGGCTATGGTTTATTTTCATAGATTTAGTTTAGTTTTTATAGATTGTGTGTATCTAGAAAACAGAATAAGTGAATCAGCTTTTTTTTTTTGAGATGGGGTTTCACTCTGTCACCCAGGGTGAAGTGCAGAGGTGCGATCTTGGCTCACTGCAACCTCCACCTTGTGGGCTCTGGCAGTCCTCCCACCTCAGCCTCCCAAGTAGCCAGGACCACAGGCACACACTACCATGCGAGGTTCATTTTTGTATTTTTGGTAGAGACGGGGTTTTGTCATGTTGCCCAGACTGGTGTCAAACTCCTGAGCTCAAGTTATATACCTGTCTCGGCCTCCCAAAGTGCTGGCCGGGATTATAGGCATCAGCCACCATGCCTGGTCATAATTTGTATGTTTAACTGTTAATTTGCCCCTCTCATCCTTGAATACATGAAAATCTAGAAGACAGTACTCACTTAACTGATACAGCACTCTTTACTCTTTAATAGTCTATCTACAACTTTATGTTAAACTGTGTTTCTTCAACAATGAAACTGATTTTATTTTGGCTCTGTCAAAACACTAAATAAATTCTTTACTAATTTCTTCAATTCTTCATTAAAGCAGCAAGCTCCTTAAGTCTTTACAAGTAGGTTTTCATTATAGTTTATATATCAATTCCTCAAATTCTGCTCTTTATTTATTAACATTTTAAAACATATTCATAAAATGGTATCTGGATTGAAATATAAAATAATGCTAAACTAACCATTTGAATCATATTTTTTTTTTTTTTGAGACGAAGTCTTGCTCTGTTGCTCAGGCTGGAGTGCAATTGCGCGATCTCAGTTCACTGCAATCTCTGCCCCCCAGGTTCAAGAAGTTCTCTGCCTCAGCCTCCCGAGCAGCTGAGATTATAGGTGCCTGCCACCACGCCTGGCTAATTTTTTGTATTTTTAGTAGAGACAGGGTTTCACCCTCTTGGCCAGGCTGGTCTTGAACTCCTGATCTCATGATCAACCCACCTCGGCCTCCCAAAGGTGCTGGGATTACAGGCGTGAACCACTGTGCCCAACCCCATTTGAATCTATTATCCTCTGGCTCCGTTGGAGCCATCTCAAAAAAACAAGTCTACAGCAGGAAAAGCCAAAACTCTTCTATTTTTTCTGTGGAAGAGGCATAGGAATGAGACAAGAAGAAGAAATAGAAACACTGGATATTGAACTCGAGTTGGAAGAGGCGAGTCCGGTCTCAAAATGGAGGGCCATGATCCAAAGGAACCAGAGCAGTTGAGAAAACTGTTTATTGCTGGTCTGAGCTTTGAAACTACAGATGATAGTTTAAGAGAACATTTTGAGAAATGGGGCACACTTACAGATTGTCTGGTAATGAGAGATCCCCAAACCAAATGTTCCAGAGGCTTCGGTTTTGTGACTTACTCTTGTGTTGAAGAGGTGGATGCAGCTATGTGTGCTCGACCACACAAGGTTGATGGGCGTGTAGCGGAACCAAAGACAGCTGTTTCTAGAGAGGATTCTGTAAAGCCTGGTGCCCATCTAACGGTGAAGAAAATTTTTGTTGGTGGTATTAAAGAAGATACGGAAGAGTATAATTTGAGAGACTACTTTGAAAAGTATGGCAAGATTGAAACCATAGAAGTTATGGAAGACAGGCAGAGTGGAAAAAAGAGAGGATTTGCTTTTGTAACTTTTGATGATCATGATACAGTTGATAAAATTGTTGTTCAGAAATACCATACTATTAATGGGCATAATTGTGAAGTGAAAAAGACCCTTTCTAAACAAGAGATGCAGTCTGCTGGATCACAGAGAGGTCGTGGAGGTGGATCTGGCAATTTTATGGGTCGTGGAGGAAACTTTGGAGGTGGTGGAGGTAATTTTGGCCGTGGTGGAAACTTTGGTGGAAGAGGAGGTTATGGTGGTGGAGTTGGTGGCAGCAGAGGTAGTTATGGAGGAGGTGATGGTGGATATAATGGATTTGGTGATGGTGGCAACTATGGCGGGGGTCCTGGTTATAGTAGTAGAGGGGGCTATGGTGGTGGTGGACCAGGATATGGAAACCAAGGTGGTGGATGTGGTGGCGGTGGTGGAGGATATGATGGTTACAATGAAGGAGGAAATTTTGGCGGTGGTAACTATGGTGGTGGTGGGAACTATAATGATTTTGGAAATTATAGTGGACAACAGCAATCAAATTATGGACCCATGAAAGGGGGCAGTTTTGGTGGAAGAAGCTCGGGCAGTCCCTATGGTGGTGGTTATGGATCTGGTGGTGGAAGTGGTGGATATGGTAGCAGAAGTTTCTAAAAGCAGCAGAAAAGGGCTACAGTTCTTAGCAGGAGAGAGAGCGAGGAGTTGTCAGGAAAGCTGCAGGTTACTTTGAGACAGTCGTCCCAAATGCATTAGAAGAACTGTAAAAATCTGCCACAGAAGGAGCGATGATCCATAGTCAGAAAAGTTACTGCAGCTTAAACAGGAAACCCTTCTTGTTCAGGACTGTCATAGCCACAGTTTGCAAAAAGTACAGCTATTGATTAATGCAATGTAGTGTCAATTAGATGTACATTCCTGAGGTCTTTTATCTGTTGTAGCTTTTTCTTTTCATTACATCAGGTATATTGCCCTGTAAATTGTGGTAGTGGTACCAGGAATAAAAAATTAAGGAATTTTTAACTTTTCAAAAAAAAAAAAAAAAAAAAAAAGAAAGAAATAGAAACACTGACTAAAACTGTTATTTTAGAATTATTATCATTATTATATACATATATTATATTATATGCTATATGTTTTAACTCACTCCTCATAACCTTTGAAGTAGGTGCTATTATTATTCCCATTTTATAGGTAGGAAGCTAAAGTATTGAAAGGTTACGTAACTTGGCCAAGGTTACACTGCTGGTAAGTGACAGACCTGGGATGTGAACACAGTCAATCTGTCTTCCGAGCCTGCACTGTAAACACTGTAAGTGCTGTCCTAGAATGTCCCTGTCTGTTTCTCTCTCTGTCTGTGTGTGTGTGTGTGTGTGTGTGTAAGAGACACAGCCTCTTTTGATGAATTTCTTCTTTTGCATAAACTTATAGAGTACAGGTTTCCTGTTTCTTAAGAGCCTACTTTTCCATGACACTAGACAAACGTCTAGTCATTTCTGAGTTCTAAGGAATAGATACTTAGGGCTAAAAGCAGTGAATGAGAGTGAGCCCAAAGAGAACTTAGTCTTGCAGGAAGATGAACATTGAAGAAGAAATTTCAAACATGGAAACACTATAAAAGAGAAGTACAGGAGTTCCTCTTTATCTGACATTTTATTTTCCATGGTTTCAGTTACACACAGTCAGCCTTGGTCTGAAAGTACTGAATGAAAAATTCAAGAAATAAACAATAAATTTTAGCTGCGATCTGAGTGTTTCAATGAACTCCCATGCCGTCCTGCTCCATCCTGCCTGGGATGTGAGTCATCCCTTTGTCCTGCTGTATCACCCTTGTATCCATGCCAAACATGCAACCCACCCATTAGTCACTAAGTAGCTATCTTAGTAGCCGTCTGGGTTATTAGATCAAAAAACACAGTATATATAGGATCCGGTACTATCCATGGTTTCGGGCATCCACTGGGGGTCTTGACACATATCTCCCAAGAATAAGGCAAGGCTACCGCACAGAGTATTGTGGGAATTTACACCTTAAATCTGGGGTTTATGGGAAGACTTCACTAATTGCCATTGTAGCTGAAGCCTGAAGGATAAATAGGAGCCAAGGTAGACTCCACACAATGTGAGGTAAGAGTTCCAGAGACCAGTGGGTTAAGCAGAACCTTGTAACAATAATTTAAAAGAACATCCACTAATTCAGGTCTGACACTAAAACCCTTTGCAATTCCCATAAGCTAACAACTATGAACATAGTCTTTCTGGTCACCTCTATATTCCACATCTGTGTTCATATGCTTTCTCATTATTTCTAGGCTATCTTCTACTTATAAGAATATATCCAAGGTTTTAAACTGAGAAGGTCTATATGTACGCATTTCTCTAAGTATGCCACTCTCGTTAGAGGCAAGTAGAAACTTAATGAATTTTAAAAATAATTTATATAATTAAATTCCTCTCCAGTCCCAAGTGTGAAAAGCATTAAATACTCTGGAGTCTCCTGAGCCATTTCCATTTTTAAAACTAATCCGTTTTTCAAGTTACAGTTTGAAGAAACACAGACTAAAGCAATGAAGCAACGTTATTATATTCTACATTATACAGCCATCACCTCATCAATCACAAGAAAGGCTCCTGCTAACAGAAGTCACTTTCTTTGTCTATATTACAAATCATAGCAATTGTACATGCTAAAATGGGAGTGTCCATTTTCCATAGGTTCCTGGAAGGGGCCATCACAAATATATTGTTCAGATTTCATGTGTCACCCTGGGTCCTACATATCTCTGGCATTTGAAGGTCAAGCCTGCTGCTTCCCCTACATATGCCCAGAAAGGTTTTCTTTTCTCTCTCCCTCCTTTCTTATCTCCCTCCTCTTCTTCCTTCCTCCATTTTTTATAATGCATTTATAATCAGAAGAATTATAATTACAGCTAGAGAAAGAACTCTTTGGGTTAAGTACTCTATACATCTGAAAAATCCATGAGCTCTACCAAACTAAAAGTATACATTCCTAAAAGTCTAACACTGTTTATCACATATAGAATTTCATATTAATGCAGCATCAAAATTGCTCCAATATTCAAATTATGTATAACTAAAATCAATCATACTGTGGACATTTTTTTGATTTTATGACTTTTATTTGCTTAAAAAAGGAAGTGTTTCTGTGTATGAGATATTTACAAATAACAATCATTTCTCTAAAAAACCTTCAGACACATGGCCAGGGATCTGAAACGTAAGAAAAAAGAGGTGGTGCCCCAGAGGAAAATGGTACTGCATCTTTATGAATATTCTCACTTCTAAGGCAACTATACCAGTATGTCAATACCCAGCTCTCCCTTCTAACCTCCACACCCAACTGTTTTCTCTACTGGTTTCAGTTTTGTGTCTACTACTCTACCTGGTGCTCTACAGTGCTGTGTACATATAAATAAGGTTAAAGCAAAAGGCCTGAACATTGACCACTTGTCCACCTGCTCTGAAAACAAGATGTGGGCAGAACTCTGGAGTCCACATTAAGCAGGTCCCCTTTTCATCTCTCCTCGCCATTGGTTCTTGATACAGAACAGTTGGTACATGTCTGTTTCCCTCACTGGATCTTAAGCATGTGTGAAGTCAGAAACTATGTTTTGTGTGTCTCTGTATCCTCAAAAATACTAGCATAGTGCTGAATAAGCATTTGTCTTAAATATGAAAAAATGGCATTTTAAATAAATAAATAATAAAATAATATGATCATTATACTGACAGTTTTTCTAATTAGTTCATATTAGAAAAATACTTTTACTATAGCCTTCAAAGAACAGAAACTCTATCACTAAGCAACATCACTGAAAGTAATGTTTTGGCCAGGTGTGGTGGCTCATACTTGTAATTCCAGCACTTTGAGAGTCTGAGATGGGTGGATTGCTTGGGCCTGGGAGTCTGAGACCATCTCTATTTTTTTGTAGAGATGGGTAAAACGCTGTGTCTACAAAACAAATATGATATAGTAGCTGGGCATGAGGGTGCACACCTATAGTCTCAGCTACCTGGGAGGCTGAAGAGGGAGGATCACCTAAGCCAGGAAGGTCGAAGCTGCAGTGAGCCATGATCGCACCACTGCACTCCAGCATGGGGAACAGAATGAGATCCTGTCTCAAAAAAAAAAAGTAATGCTTCAATATATGACAATGCAGTCAAATGTTCATGATGTATCTTAAATGAAAAAAAGCAAATTATAAAATATTTGGTGTAAACCCAAATTAAACATAACTGAAGATATGCAAATAAAAAATGTAAGGGGCACACATAAAACAAACTGATACGTAAACACTTAACAAAACTTAAGGTATTACCAAAGGATATAATTACTTTGTGATTTTTGCAAAGCGTTTTAAATAAACTTTCTTTTCTTTTTCTTTCCTTTTTCTTTCTTTCTTTTTTTTTTTTTTTTTTTTTTTTTTTTTTTTTGGTTGAGAAGGAGTCTCGCTCTGTCCCCAGCCCAGGCTGGAGTGCAGTGGCTCGATCTTGGCTCACTGCAACCACTGCCTCCCAGGTTCAAGCAATTCTCCTTCCTCAGCCTCCCAAGTAGCTGGGACTACAGACACGCACCACAGTGCCCAGCTAATTTTTGTATTTTTAGTAGAGATGGGGTTTCACCATGTTGGCCAGGATGGTCTCAATCTCTTGACCTCATGATCTGCCCACCTCAGCTTCCCAAAGTGCTGGGATTACAGGCGTGAGCCACCATGCCTAGCCTTAAACTTTTTTCTTTAAAAATATTTTTCTTCATAGTTTTTGTATTTTCAAATTTTCTGCAGTGAAAATATGTTACTATAATGAAAAAAAAAGTTTTATAAACTAGAAACCAAATTTTCAAAAACTGTGGTCTTTAAAGGTCATTAATGGAAAAGAAGGCCTATGATAGTGAATCATTATGACAAAAAACTTGCAAGTTATACATGAAAGCTGAGACTATTTGTGTAGGCTTTTCCTTAATCAGCTGTCTTAAAAATAAGTATTACTTTTACCACTTCTAGGATAAAGTGCAACCATTTCTCTTTTAACTGAAACTCTTGGTCAATGGATAAACCAAAGAACCAAAATCTATGTTTGAAAAGTGAGATGGAAATCATCATTCTAGATAAGACACAACAAAATCAGCACAATCTCCCCTTAAAAGGTCATATATCAAGAAGGGCAAAGTAAAATGGAACCTTCCTAGCAGAACAGAGTAGGAAAAGTAAAAAATAATAATCATTATCAAAACTGGGACCTTTTCTTTTCCAAACTTTTTATGGAATTACGAACATTTAGTAACTAAAGAAAAACAGCATTTTAGAAGTGTAATACTGACGCTATTTACAATTTTTTCTTTGTGACGCTCACATCAGGAATCATTAGTAAACCTGTCGTGATACCAGATAACCAATGCCTGGCTGGCACACCAATAACTGAATCATATTATTAATGCTTCATCCTTTTGACAGGAGGGTAAAGCCAACTATTGTGCACTGTCATTTTCACCGAAAACAGAATAACTGGGTTCAGTAGTCTTTACAAATTAAAGTTATGTGCTTCAAGAGAATGTCCAAGACTTGAGGTAGAAGATCTGTTACTGATATTTCATTACAACAGCTGATAAAGAGATAGATGAAAGGGAATACTGACCCAAAAAAGATAATCATTAGAGAATTCATGATGTATTTTAAGAGACTTTATTACGTAAACAATTTTAACTTCTGGATTCAGGCAGTAGGCTGATATAATTAACCACTATTAAAGGAACAATTTAATAGCCTCCTTCTCTCTGACAGCTTTTAAAAATATATACTGACCCTTAGAAATTTTCTACATTAAATGGTTAAAGATCCCCAAAACTATATTACACGTCAAAAATAATCTGACTTCAGAGAGAGTCAATATTCATTCAACAAACAAAATAATTTAAGTTTTTCCAATTTCCATTTCTAATCTCTCTTTAATCAATAACATATTTTTAAAAATTTTTAAAATTATTTTTCAAAATGTAAAATGTCTGTTC